TGGATGCTGTGAAGCAGGCAGATCTATTATGGAGGATACGCAGAGCCAGGATAGTGATGAGGCATTGGTTAAGCAGATTGAGATCGAGACTATTGGATACCATACAACATTGAGTGGGATGTACATGTACCGGAACCGAGTTTGTGTGCCAGATGATGAGTTGTTAAGGAAAGAGATTTTGCAGCAAGCACACCACTCACGTTTCTTTATCCATCCAGGGAATACTAAGATGTACATGGATTTGAAGCGTTATTACCATTAGCCTGGTATGAAGAAAGATGTTGCTACATTTGTATCTCAGTGTCAGACGTGTCAGATGGTTAAGGCTGAGCATCAGGTGCCTAGCGGGTTATTGCAGAATTTGCCTTTGCCTGAGTGGAAATGGGATATGGTGACTATGGATTTTGTGACTGGTCTCACAACAACGGGTGGTGGGAGAAATGCTATTTGGGTTATTGTGGATAGACTCACTAAATCAGCACATTTTCTAGCAATTAAGAAGACGGACAACGCTCACCAGTTGGCAGAGATTTACATCAAGGAGATCGTGAGATTACATGGAGTTCCTGTTAGTATTGTGTCAGATAGGGACACAAAGTTCACATCTGCTTTTTGGAGAGCCTTTCAAGAGGCGCTTGGGACTAAGGTTCATATGAGTACAGCTTATCATCCCCAGACAGATGGACAGTCAGAGAGGACTATTCAGACTTTAGAGGATATGCTCAGGGCTTGTATTCTAGATTGGGAAGGCAGCTGGGGAAAGTATTTACCTCTAGCAGAGTTTGCCTACAACAACAGCTATCATTCTAGTATTGGGATGGCACCGTATGAGGCGCTTTATGGCAGGCCTTGTCGCACACCACTTTGTTGGACAGAAGTGGGGGAGAGACGAGATTTAGTACCAGCGATAGTTGAGGAGACTGTAGAGCAAGTTGAGATGCTCAAGACTCGGCNGGCCTTGTCGCACACCACTTTGTTGGACAGAAGTGGGGGAGAGACGAGATTTAGTACCAGCGATAGTTGAGGAGACTGTAGAGCAAGTTGAGATGCTCAAGACTCGGCTTAAGGAAGCCCATGACAGGCAGAAGAGTTATGCAGATAAGCGCCGCAAGGATTTGGAGTTTCAGGTGGGAGACTTAGTATATCTGAAAATAAGAACATCTCAAGAAGGATATAAGATTCAAAAAGCTAAAGATTCTTAAGCCGAGATATATGGGACCATATCCCACTGTAGAGCGGATTGGAGCAGTAGCTTACAGATTGCAGTTATCAGCTGAGCTGTTAGATTTTCATGACGTGTTCCATGTGTCAGTATTGACGAAGATCGTGAGAGAGCCAGAGCTCATTTTGCAGCACCACCACCATGCAATCTCGGTAAAAATTTGTCTGCACGTATTCAGCCAGTTGAGATTTTGGAACGGCAAGGTTCGTTGGGAGAGAGAGGAAATCCAGGAGGAGACCTAGGAGACCGAGACTTAGATGAGAATAGATTATCCAGAATTGTTTCAGGATGGTATAGGACAGTGGGTTTATGAATCGAATTCGAGGACGAATTCCTTGTAAGTAGGGGAGAATTGTAACGACCCAAAACCCAGTAAAATTATTTAGGCCCGGCTAGGCCCAGTAGTGTGGCAGAAACCCTAAACTCTTCCTATTTAAAGAGAGATTAATGTTCAGCAGACACGTTTTGAGAAAACAGAGTAACGATTGATCAAAACAAAGAATTTCGAAGTCAAATTTTGAGGTTATGTTTTACATTCTTAGATCTACGTATATCAGAAAACGGATCGTCATTTGGAATTTTTATCTAAGAGTTATGATTATTTCTTCCTGACTGATTTCTGCAGATCGGATCTACCAGCAGTCATCTTCATCAGTATTTTCCCGCTGATCCAGAATGAACCAGGAAACGAGCGAGATATCATTGGAAAGATCTCGATGTCAGCTTTTTATATCATCTTTCCGATCGTGAAACAAAGGTACAGTTAGAAAGTTATTGACGGTTCTTCGTGGCGATAATTAAACTGTTGTGTTGCAGAGGCAGTTCCGAGTAGTCTCAGAGTAAAGGCGAAACGGTCAACCTAAACGAAAGCTTTCAGTCTGGAAATTTGTCAGTAAGTAGTTAGTTCTTTTATCTATCATCCCCAGCAAGCGGATCATCATTTCAAATTATTTGCTGAGAGTGATGCTTATTTTAGTGAAAGGTGTTGGTGCAGTCTGCGTTTGCGACCAATTTGGAGGCGAGGCTATTTTGAGTAATCAAACGGTGTCTGATCGGTGTAAACTCGGTGGCTATGGACAGAGGACGTCTAGGGCTACATTCTGACCGGAGGGATTGAAAAGGTAACGGTCAGTTCTTGAGTTATTGATATATTATCTCTAGGGTTCAGTTCTGCCAGAATCTTCACATTCATCTATTTTCAGAGACTTCCGAAGTTGCTGTTTTTAGAGCCATCAGGGTCATTCAGTGTTTTCTCAGGTTTTCTTCAGAACCCGTGGCAAAGGTGAGGGTCTAATCCGTAACTCCCGTACCAGTATAGAATTCTTCCTATCGTAGTTTAGATTTCGAAACATGATCCGTCTGTTTGAATTGAGTCTGTTTGAGTCTTGATTGCTAGTTAGTTCATTCATTGCAAATTGGAACTAGGGGTCTAGAGGATTCAACCGTTGATTGGATTGTGTGATGTTAAGAGATGGTATATATATATGTACATACATAGTTATGAGTAGGGACTATGTGGGAGGGCGGGGGTTCAGGGATGCCTGGACTATCGATGCAACTTTGGAGGGCGGGGGCTCAGAGACGTCTGGGCTAGCGACGCAACTGTGTGGTGTGCGGTGCAGAGACGTTTGCATTCGACGCAGATTTGGAGGGCGGGGGTACAGAGACATACTGTACTAGCGACGCAGCGTATGATATATATCCATATATGGAGATGCGGATGTTAAAAGTAACATGGTATTTGATGACATAAAATGAGAGCAACAACAGTCTCCATACGTTCTTTGAGACAAATATGATTATTATTTTTTTGATAATGTTTGATAAATGAGAACTCACATAAATGCTTAGTATGATTATCAAACATTCTCAAAAAAAAAAAAATCATATTTGTCTCAAAGAACGTATGGAGACTGTTGTTGCTCTCATTTTTTGTCATCAAATACCATGTTACTGTTCAGACAATTTATGCTTAATCATGTTACCATGTACAGTCATAGAACGTATAGACAATTTATGTTCTATGGACTGGACGAATTTTACTCGAAACCGATTCGACACAATCTCAGTATCTTAGCCCAGTACAATGACCTACGATATTCCTTTTTTTCTTTAACTTTTACAATCATATTCTAATTTATTTATTAGAACTCACATATTGATACCGATGTGTGTGGTCAAGCAGCACACACGCCAAAACACCATTGGGTCATTCGAGGTTTAACTCGAACTTGTATATTCATTTACATCGACCCATGTGTCCCCCAACTTAGAGCATGTTTATTGGTAAACCCCTTAAGTGTCTCTTAAGTGGGTCATACCAAATTTTTAACTATTAAAATTAGGAGAAAAAACTTTGTTAAGAGACATATAACTATAGTGGTTTAATGGTAGTATCTTAATAAAAGTTCTTAATAATGTTTGTACACACACAAAAGGAGAGAAGGAGAGATGATGAGATTGTAATGTTTGTGCAATACCAAATTCATATAGCACACGAGAAGAGACAAAGATGAGATTGTGAATAGAATCTTTGTGCAATACAACATTTATATACAACTTTACAGCTCGTTAAGTATTACAGAAGAAGACACAAGTATACAAACAATTAGACAAAAACAACTTTACAGCTTGACAATAAGACACAAGAATCAACCGCTTTCTCATAAACACCCAACGTGAACGTATCAGGCACAAAGCCATGATCTTTCATCTCCTTCAAAACACTCTCAGCATCCTCCACCATCACTTAAGTATTGAAAGTAACAAGATTCGGATCAATACCATCCCCGTTCATGCGTTCCCTTACCTTAAACTCTTCTCAATATCTCCAATTTTACAATATCCATCGATCAACTTGTTATACGTTATCACAGTAGGCACCAATCTTCTCTGAAGCATTTCGTCGAACAGCTTCTCTGCATCATCCATCCTCCCCAATTTACACAACCTATCTCTAAGAACGTTGTAAACAAACACAGTAGGAAAGATTCTATCGTGCTTTATGCGATTAAATAGCTCTATACCTATACCTAAATCGGATCATGTTCGAGTTTGATCGGTGAGAACTCCACGCGCCGTTTCGATTCGATTCTGCTGGAGAAGAACTCGGAGATTCCAGAGCTTCTCGTGTCGATCTCCGTCTCCGGTGATGGGAGATAGAGGTGGAGTTGTTTCGGGCTCTGGGTGGGTTGTGTTGAAGAGGTAGAGAAAAGACGATATGAGCATGAGAAAGAGATGGAGATGAGAGAGATAGACACTTCGTCTTATGACAGGTGTCCCTAAGGGACGTTCTTTCTGGAGCTTAATTAAACAACGCCCCTTGCATTAAAAGGTATTTTTCTTTTTTTTTTAATCTAAATTATGCTAAGAACCAGGGTTAAGGAACCCCGATAAACATGGTCTTACCTCAAAGATTGGACCCTTGAAAGTTGAAAATTAAATCAGAAACGTTTATTGTTTGGTAGATTCATTGAATGTTATAATCAAAGATTCCATCCTCCATGAAAAAATAACGAGTTTGTTACCAAAAAAAAAAAGATTCATCCTCCATGAAAAAGTGATGAGACTTGTTATAATCCGGCAAAAGGATTTGACCACAAAATAAAGTTAAAATTATCAGCGATTTTAGATAGCTAACAGTAGCTCAAAATTATCAAACAAAAACTAAACTTCCTCTTCCCTACTTTGAATCAAACTTGAAGAAGAACATCCTCCAGAAACATTGGTTAGAACCAGAAGTGAAAAAATTGGTTAGAAAACCAAAGACCGAATGATATCAATCTCTGCGACTCTGCACAGAATCCTCCAAATCAAGATCAACACCAACACGATTCCGAATCGACGCGTTTGCGTGGCACGAGTGATATGAAGAAGAAGAAGAGCAAGACGCGAGCTTCCACTTCTTCTCAACTTCCTTAAACCTCTCAACATCGAACTGACGACTCTTGAGCAACTTCCTCTGCCTAGAAAGAAACAGCCTCTTCATGAAATCTTGATAAGTTGGGTCTCTCGAAGTCATCAAGAAATAAGCATATCCGACAATAATCCCAGTTGCTGTAGTGAAAAACGTAATCGGTTCCATCACATCCCAAGAAAACTCCCAGAAAGTTAGTCTAAAAAACAGACCAATCTGAACCACAGAGTAACCAAGACCACACCATAGAATTTTCCTAACTTGCTTATGAGCCAGCACATCAATCTCTTCCTTCATACCCCTGAGCTTATCAAACTCGTCTCTAATAGTATTATCCTCCGGATTTAAACCCAAAGGCACTGCCTTTCTAATCAATTCCACCACCTGCAACAAAACCCACAAGACAAAGATTAATTTCAGACAAATCATTATGTTTTGTTTTTCAGTTTCAGATTTTTTTCAGACCTTATCTGGATGAAGATAGACTTTATCTCTGAAAATCAGAATGACACCAGCATCATCGAGTACACGAGCGAAAGCTTGAGCTTCGTCGAGAGATCTAGCGATGCCTAAACCTTGAGACGCTTCAATGAGTTTAGTGTAAGAGACGGTTTCTTCATTACCCATACAACCAAGCTTCTTCTTCATCTCATCAACATTCACTAACCTCATTAACTTCTTCGCTTCCGTTACTGTTATCTCCTCCTTATCCTTCTCCTTCTCCTTCTCCTTCTCTTTCCCTGTTGGTTCAACGGTGAGACACCTGAAGCCACCAGCGAGCCATGGCTTCACCGGGGAACCTTTACTCACGGCGGAGAACGCCGTACGTCTCAAAACACCCACCGCTGTCCACATATTTCTGAGGATGGACCCCAAAAACAGATCTGGGCTCAAAGAACAAGGCACTAAAAAAAACCTAAGAGAAAAACGGTGAAAGAGAAAAGTAAAAAAAGGTAAGTGAGATTCGATTGTGACGCGAAAGTGTAATGTGCGCTCCACCAAGAACGTGAAAGGTCAAAAATAGTAAGGGGAGGAAGAAGCTGCGTGCGTAATGGTTACTTTCTGGAATTAGAAAAGTTTGGTCGACATTGTTGACTGAATGTCAGGGCATGCCTTTTCCGAAATCCCTAAACACAATTTGTAAGGAGCCGTTCGATGATGCATTTTACTTTATAGGGCTGGCTGGGTGGCCGTCCACACAAAAAATAAAAGGAAATAGTGATTTGGTTCGGTTATAACTAACCGAAGAAAATTGCTCGGTCAAGCTTGGTTTTGCCTTTTTTGAAGATTAATCTCTATAATATTATTTGAGAAGTCAGTTTCCTACGTGTCGCGCTCACGTTAATTCTCGCGATGGTTGATTACATTGATACCCTTAATAAATTGTTAGATTTTAAGTTTATATTAATTTTTTATTTAGTTTCTTATTTTGATTTTTCCAAATAACATATATAATAAAAAGGAAATATTTCTAAATTTTTAAAACAGATTTAAAAACGAAAATATATGTATATAATAAGACTTTATTAAAAAGGAAAGTTCACAAAATAGTAATATACCCCATTAATCTATATTTTTAAATAACATATAATATATTTTCAAAATAATAAAAATATATATGTTCATGAACATCCAAAATTCATCAGTTACACTTTATTTTTAATATTTTTTTAGAAATCAACATATAATTTGATAAATATTATGAAAATATTTGTATATTTAAGCGACAAATAAAACTAATTTGATTTGACTTAACTAAAATAAGGAATAAATAAATATTATGAAAATACATGTATATTTAAGCGATAAATATAACTAATTTGATTGGATTTAACTAAAATAAACAGTAATTATACTTCAATTTTAACTCAATATACTCACAACATGAATGACTCGACTAATCTAATTTTTATATCCAAAATTAAACATCTAACTACAATAAGAACATATAATTTTAGAGTAATAATAATCTATTTAATTTTATACATATAAATTAGAGGTTGACTCAAAGCTTATTAAAAAGAAAAAGAAAATATTAATCAATTACAATTTATTCTTTTGTAGAATTTATATATATGCATGAGACTTCAAAATATTATATTCATTTATGTAATTTTGAATCAAACACTTCAGCTTATTATTTATTTTAGTTTAAGCACAATATATATATATATATATATATATATATTTTTTTTTTTTTTTTTTTTTTTGTCAACTTTGTTTCATTAGAAACTGGCCCAAAGGGCTTTTACATGTTGGTATTGGATTATTACAGAAAGGCCCAGATAAAATACTACAATCAAACCTAAATCGAAAGCGGTGTTTGCTATATGTCATTCTCCACGCGTCAAAAGAAGAAATTTCTCGAGACACCACGTGTCCATCACGGAGAAAACGGCAATCTACGCCTTTCAATAGTTTCTCCGCCGTGAAAACTTCCTCTTCTCCACCTCCGATTTTCTCTAATCACCACCGTTGATGTATGAAGCCACCCCGCAATCCGATACCAACTTCTAATGCTTTCCACTTTAACCGCAAATACTTGAGCAAAGGAACCTCCATCCACCGGATTTAGTTCAAAGGAAACATAAATCAAATCGAAGCGAGACTCTTTATCGGACCGTTGAGGACAACGCCGATTCTCCTGAATCTCTTTCAGACTCGATTCCGTGTATCCATCAATCTCATATTTCTCTCTCTCAGAGATGCTCCACTCGAAACGCCATTAACGGCTTCATAAAGAAAGCAGAGACTGACTCTCGTAAAAAGAAATCAGAGTGAGCGGTGAAAAAAAGTATTTGATCAAGAATTTAAACGGTATAAAATTAAGCCTCAAGTGGAGAGCAAGTATAAACAAAGATCCAATCATAAAGATCGGATGCTTATTAATCGATTCATGACAGGGACAAAACATAAACATGAAGAACAACCCTGTTTGAATCGACATACACATCAAAAGTCGCCATGCGAAGAGTTGATCCGCCAAACGGAAAAAGAGATTCGCCGAGCGAAGCTATTTACAACAAAAGGAACAAAAACAAAAGGATTGGTGACCGGCGGCGAGGCCACCGGCCACGGGACGGTGATACTTTTGATGAACTCTTTATGAGAGAAGTTAGAGAAAAAGAGAGGAAGAGAGAGAATGTTCTCAACAGCTCTATATATATATATATATATTAAGTTATATATAGTTTAACTATAATATATTTACATATCTAAAAATATATTTACATATCTAAGACAATAACCAACCGAAATGAAAATAAGAAAATTAATCAAAGTTTTATTATATTTACAATAAAAAATATTATAGCTGAATTCGAAAAATATATATTATCCAATATACCATATTGATAACCAAACCGACTATTGATCCAAAAAAATAATTAAACCGAGAATAATATATCCATTCATATGTATAATTAGAATAATATAATATTTATTAATATAAATTATACATATAAAATGATACAAAACTAAAATTAAATATCAATCAATTATTATAAAATTTTACTTTTATGAATATTTATACCCGTGCATGAGCACGGGAAAATCACCTAGTTGCTATTTAGTGGTGAAGAAGAAAAAAAATGTCAGTCCCTCAATTTATATAGATACGCACCGTTTTGAAAGAATATGAAATAGGCAAGAGAGTTAAGTATTTTCTTCTTACAGAAAAAAATGTGTTTACAAAACAACATGTATACTAGATGATAACCCGCGCAAGCGTGGGGTGAAATTTTTATACTAATATTTATTCATTAAATGGTTTTTAACATTTTGCAATACTACAATATTTATCGATTATAAAATGAGGAATACAAATGTTGGTATCTTAAATCATCATAGGTCTGGACGTTTGAGACTTCGTCGGTTTTAGTTTGATTGACACGTATTTTCAGATTTTGGTATTATTCTCATAAATCCTATTTGAATTTTATTAATTATCGGATTGGATTCGATTTGATCTTCTCAATTCAGTTTGGATTGGCTTGTAACCAATATCTGAAATCATCCCAAAAAATATTTGCTAAACATTTAAAGTTGACTAAAAAATCAAAATATTTAAACTATTAATAAATCTAATTTAAAATTAGTTAAATTATCTAAACAAACTAAAAGATAATAAAAAAAGAAGCAAATGAAAAAAACTACAAAAATCTTTTGAATACTATAATTTGTATCTACTAACCTCAAACTTTTTCACTGAAATTTTTAAATTAACATATTTATAGTATGAATATCTACTAATGATACTTCATATTCGTATGATTTATGATAATTTGTATCTTCTTTGGAAAAAAAACAAAGTTAAACCATTGATCATAAAATTTTCAATGTGAGATTTTACTATTTTTAGTTATTTATGGTCGTTTTAAAAAATTAAAAATATAACCTATAAGAAAAAGTAATTTTTTTATTATATATTTAAATGTGATTGTTTAATTTATTTTAATAATTTAAAATTAAACAAAAAAGAGAGAGGATACAAAAAGATGTATTATTCATAATCATTAATTACATATATATGTTAATCATATTAGGTAATTCCGTAGCTTTTATTTAAGGAAATAAAATATATTGTTTTATACCTAGCAAAGTTGGTCCCGTAAAAATGTATATATATTATAGTCCTAAATGCATGAAATTAAATGTTACATTATTTCATTTCTAGCAAAGTTGGTCCATTAAAAAATTAAAGCTGAGAAGCTCTGTGAACTTGACACGTAAGCATGATCTCCAAAGTAGTGCATTTATGAATGTTTCAGGATTAATATATAAGGGATTTTTTTTTTCTTAACAAACGGTTTTCATTAGTTACAAAATATGATAAAAAAAGATCACACATCTGTCGTTTATGTTAACTAGGGATATGTTCGCGCTTAGTATAGAACGCTTATATTAGTGTTATGCTTAATATTTGATTATATTAAAATTTTACTTACAAAAGATAAAAATTACTTACTTTCAACAAATTGTTTTTAATTTAACTCATAATACAAAGATTATGATATTTATTTGACATATATTATTTTCTCTCTTTGATTCAAAAAGATCCATGTTTTGGAACAACAAATGTTTCAAAATATATATTTGAATTCATTATTTAATGGTAAATTGTAATTTTCAAAAAGTATATTATTTATTAAAATTATATTGATTAAAAGTTATAGAAAACATTTAGTTACAAAATAATGTATTGGTAATCAAAATTTCTTATGTTTTCTTAGCATGTATAAATATTTAAAACAAATATCTTTTTTTAACACATGAGAGTATTAAATTAGATAGTTAGCTAATGGGAAAATGAGCATTTTGTTCCCCAAGTATTTGAAATTGGTAGTTTTAATACGTAAATATTGCTCGCACAAAATTATTCATCAACTTGTAGTTGACTGTGAAAAATTAGAAACAACAGAAGATAACAGTTAATTAATTAACAGAAAGATAACATTTTCCATCAGTTTTTAACGTTGACTATTCTGATCATAATTATGTGCCATCAATGATTAGTTGATGAATAAATATACATATATAGTACTTGAGTATTTAATTTAACGATTGAAAACATTTGAGTAATTAATAACGTCGAACTCTTTAAAAAAAAAAATCATAATGTAAAGGATTTCCAAGATAGCTACAACCAATGTACCTGATTTTCACTTTTTAAAAGATTTTTTTGAGTTTTTACAATGACAAATACCATAATACAAATAATTATAGTTACAATAAATTGTTAATGTACTTCTTTGTTTATAAAATCACTTAAGATGATTTTAAAATAATTCCTAACTAAAAGATTATCAATTTTAACAAATATACAAGATGCTTAATATTGGAAAAATATTTTGAATTTTTATAAAAGAAAATAAAATAATATAAGATAATTTTTTGAAAAGTAATAAAATAAGATAATAACATTGCATGTATTGCTGATGTACAATATATAACTGTCTAAAGTAGAGATCCAATGTGCAACATATGATTGTCTAAGTAAATACGAAATCATCCATAGGTAATTGTATACGCAATAGGTACATCAACAGTACAATGCAACAATACAATATAATGCAAAAAAATGAAACCAAAATTATTTATATTTTCATTTAAACATTCTTACATAGATTTTTTTGTCCATTATGTTCACTATTAAAAATTAAAATTAAAACTAAAATCAGATAATATTTTCATTTCATTTATATAAAATTAAAAAGTTTACTTGATTAATATTTAGTTATGTATTTTCTATTTTTTTAATTTTAACTTCTTTATTAAAATATATTTTCAGATAAACACACAATATATATAGGAATTATCTTATTAAAAAAATATTATTTCAATTTTGCATAATTCTTATGTTTTAAATTTTGGATAATTCTTACGATTATTATTAGTTTTAATTACTTATCTTAGCAAAATTATTTAAATTCGTTTTTATTTCGTATGTAATATATATATTTTATTTATTAAAGGTATAAATGATATTAACCACTTCAATTTTTAATGTGTAAGCTCCGTTACGAAAAATCACTTCGCAAATAATAGTATAGATGCTTTACAGAAAATTCAAGAGTTAAGAAATTTAATTTTTAAATATAATATTATTAATTAAACAAATTTAAAATAAAATAACCAAAATCATAAATTATGGAGTAAAATATTATTGGTCAACCAATTCTCAATAAATTAAAATATCTTAAAAATATCAAAATATCATATATTTTAGAATAACAAATTTGTTTCCAAAACTCTTATTTTTAAGGAACGGATGTAGTATATTACAATAGTTAAACCAGTTTACCAGTTGAATTATTATTGTCGTAGTCCAAACACCAAAAATAAATACTGATGCATCCTTTTCGAATTCGTGATGGTTTCTACATCATTTTTTACATAATTCTTTTCAAAATCCCCTCAATTGCAAAAAGATAAGATGATTTTTTTCTAGAAATTGTACAATCAGTATTAATAAAAAAAATGATTATCCAAATCAAATATTAAAGAAAACAAACTATTTACATATTTTACACATCCAAACAAAAGAAGATTAAACCAACATGTTTCATTGGTACTACATCATAAATCTTCTTTTTTTTTAACGACATCATCATACTCTTCTATAGCAGTATTAGGATGCTGAAAATAAAAACAAAATACACCATGGTCCTTGGCGACTTGGTTCTTAGTGGCATCGCCAATCAACCTCTAGGAGTCATTTAAGGCGATAGTAAGATGGCATGGTCCTGTTACCTTGATCATTAGCGATGATCTCAAAACGGTCGTGTTGCCATACTCCGACGCAGAAGTAGGTCGTTCCGAAATAGATTCTGATGGCCGGGCCTTCTGATAAGTATCAACAAGTATACATTCGTAGGAAGAAGAGTGACGGGATGGAAAAGACTTTAGTTGATACAGAAGGTTTGGATGTGGAGGGTTCGAGAGAGAAGCATCTGTCTAGAGTGGAGGGTTCGGCTATTAATGAATATTGAAGAAAAGAGCAAAGACTCGGAGTCGGTGAGAGGGTTTGCCGTTATAACCGTTAGACTGCTTTAAATAAGTGTATCGTTTGTATTGAGTCTTTTATGCTTGATGTTGTTGGTGATTTTAGACGTGATGAGTCTGAGCTCAAGTTCGTGATGAGAACTTGAGATCGAGCATACGTTTCCAAATTTGTATTAGAGAGATACTAATCAAGTCTGTAAACTTCGTTTATTCATTCAATACAAGAGTTTCCGAGTTTTATAGAGTTTACAATAGCTAAATCTGTCACCTTCTCCTTTACCAGACATTATCAGAGACAAGCTTTAAGCAGAATATTATGAAGATTGATGAAAGGGGCTTTCGGCAGCGAAGAGTTTGAGTTTGTGATGTTAAGAGAGAGAGTGCGAGGTTTGTTTATATGTTCCAGAATCAACACATTTTCGAATTCGTGCTCTTCTCATTATATTTCTAAGTTGCATTCTTGATGGCAAGTAGGTTAAATCGCGGACTTTATTCTACATTGCCACACTCATTCCCATCTTCATTCTAATATGCCACAATCATAAATTTGATTTTTTTTTTTTTTTCTTGAAGTCGAAATATGGTTAAAAAATCAATAACCCTTAATGAATCAGTACTTTTTTTGGTCAAAATGAATCAGTATTATGTGGAATATAAATTATTAGAAACTACCTTGAATTACTAGAAACTAACTTGATTACTAGAAATTACTACGAAAAAAAAATGTGGCAATGTAGAATAAAGTGTGGCAGTTAGAATAGTTATTTTCTAACTGTGGCATATTAGAATACTTTCCTTAAATCGCTAACGTTGAGGATTATGTCTCTGTGCAGTAAGTTGGATGAAAGAAAGTAGTTGATTGGGCCTATGAAGGAAGAAAAGATTTAAGTTGTGTCCACTTTCTTCCTGCTGCTTCATAGTTTGCAACTTTGCATTATAAATGTTCTGACCTTAAAGAACGAGCGCGTAAACATGTTTTGTTGTGCTTTTTTTTCTTTCTCTAAATCAAAATTGATCACATAATCCATCAAGCAGAAAGCATTTCAAACAACAAGCCTTCACAAGATTAAAACCCCCAAAACCCTCCTTTTAGTCAAAGTGTTTTTGCCACAAAACTGAATTATGTATTTTTTTTTTGCCACAAAACCAAAGAAGCAGTCTTTGATGATTTTAGTTCCCAGCTTCAAGAAACAGGCTGAGTTCCACATACCTCTCATGTGAAGAAGGCCTTGAGTCTCTCCGACCTCTTATGCTCAAGCTATCCTCGTTATGTGGTGCAAGCAACAGAGCACCACTGCGTTCTTCCGTCACAGCCCTGTCATCTTCGTCCATGTCCCTTAGACCTCTCAGGGCCATTGAATCTGAAACCGGGAAGTAGATAAGCAAGCAAATGGCAACCACGCAAAAGCAGAAGAGGGACAAGAAGGCCAAGAACGAAAGGCACTCGAACACAATCTTGTCTGCTCTCGTGAGTACCGACAAACAGAGCATAACAATCCTCAACGGAAGGAAACTCGAGACAGAAAATATCAAAGTGTATACTCTCTTCTGCAAACGCTTGTTGATCACCAGTTTCAGTATCTGCCTTCCAAGCCAGAACAAGTAAGCTATTAGGAGGGCTGCAAAGACACCGAGGAGTATGGTACTCAGTAGAGGATACGTGCATAACGCAACCTGGTCATGATCTATAGTAACTAGAGAAAAGGTTCTTGTGAAGTCGTGTGGCAGCTTTACATAAGAGCCATCACCACCGTTAAGGCGTGACTCGGATAAAACAACCGCCAGCTGCAAAGCAAGCATGGGTAGACAAAAAAGAGCAATATAACCTGCCGTGTTCCTGTTCCATTTCTCACTCATAGCCCCTGACTCCATCTTCAAAGGAGCACGCAGAAGAAACAAGAGTGTCAGAAAGAGACAAGGCTCTGCAAACCCTAGATTGGAGACGATGTACAACTTGCAGACGTTTTCTTGCCATCTCAGATCAAGCCCGCTCAGTCTCCTAAACAAACTCAACCGGAAAATCTCACCAAGAGCCCACCAGATGGCGAAGAGGATGAATAGGATGCGGATAAGCCAAGGAGCGGTGAAGTAACCAAGCTGAATAAAGCCTTGCTTACGAACGTGAGAGTGGAAGTAGAAGGAGTAAGCGATGCAGAGGAGACCGAGAAGAATAAGAAGAGCGACTAGTGATATGGTGAGGACGCCGAATGCATCGGGAAGTAATCTTGTCAGGGGCATCACCCAAAACACAATATCCACGCATGCTCTCTACCAGCATGGATGCAGAAAAGATCTCAAGCTGTAGATGTGCCTTCTCTCTCACCAAAAAAAATGTTTTAAAGATTAGAAACTATTCATCGATGGATGGAAGACACACAAGAGAGGGAGCAGCCCAGTTCACCCGATGGAACTTTTTGTGATCTTGACTCTAGCACTTGATATGTGTGTGTTACCAACATAAACTGAACCAAACAAAAAAAAAGGATCAGAAAGGTTCCAACATTATTATTTTTTTTTTTACAAATCTCTACTTGTTAATCATTCCACACATGTAATAATGAACGCAAGAATCTCGCTGACAACAACATTTCATAAAAATACAGAGTAATTAAGCAAACAAGAGTAGGGCAATTACCAATAACATGTTCTCATCCCCGGAAAAAAAAAGACATTCTCTTTGTACAAAGAATGTTCGGAGATTTTTCATTACAGTACCAAAGTCAATAAGCTAGACAATCAATTTTAAGCGCATAAAGCACGAAAATATCAATATAACCAGATCCAACATAGAGACTCGACAAGCGCTATCACGAATCCAAATATAATCAAACCAAAATTTGACAAGGAAGGATGAGATTAGAGAGCTTACAAGGAGGAGAATCTGGATCCAAAGAGTTGGAACGGGGAAGATCTGAACGATTGGAGAAAACTTTAAGAATGAGGCGTAAACAGAGGAAGGAGAGAGAGGGAAGGACGAGAGCCAAAAATGAGAGAGAGAGAGAAGGGGAGAGAGTCTCCGTTGGTGACAGGCTGTATCCAGCTTTGATAACCGATAACTCTGGATCCGGGTTCGGGTTTGTTTTCTTCTGATTTTTCTTTTACGTGGCTCCACCCTGGCGGCGTTTGTCTTTTCATATCTGTGAATCCCATATTCCAAAGAGTCAAAATGGAAGTGTTATATGAGATGAGTGAAGTATCCGAGGAGTTAAACTGGAATTGATAAGAATGACTAGTAAATTAGTTTTCGATTCGTTTCGATTTTTCTTTCAAAATAGTATTTTTTTAGGGAGAATTCCATAAAAATATTTCAACTAAAAATATAGAATTTGTCTATTTTAATATAGAATTTTTTATACATTTATTTTAATATTCAAACTTTTTTTAATTAATTAAAAATACTAATAAGTTCAAACCAAATCTAAAAAATCGCTAAAATCTAAGAAAGTATTTAAATTTTTTAATTTTATTTGAATATTTAAAAAATAAGGTAAATAAAGTCTCGAGAAGAATTAAAAGTTAAAAAAAAAAACTAATTTTGAAGAAAAACAAATTAATTTATTTTTTACTTAGAAAACAAACTAAATTCAACTTTTAAAACTCCAAAAATTTAATAATATATAAAAAATAATTTACTCTATTTCTCAGACACAAATAAAATTGGAATTTTCTCTAAAGTTTATAAATTTTTAAAATTGCATTTGAAACTTATTAGTATTTTATTAAATAAATAATTTTTGGGCACAATTATAAAAATTTATGTATTAAAATGGACAAAATAATTAGTTGGAATAGAAAAGTGGATAGCGAAAAAGTTTGAGTATTTAAAAACTTCACGAAATTTAGGTGAGATATTTTTGTGAAAATTTATCATTTTTATATACTAGAAACAACCCCAATTGAGTCTGGTTTATTGACAGACAAATGAATTGATAAAAAAAAACTGGAAACAAATCAGATATAACCTGATTGAATCGGATTCACACAAAAACCCTAATTGCTAAATTGGGAAGCGTTTGTCCTCTTATCGATAGCCTCACCTAGAATTGTCTAACAACCATCAACATCGGTTCTTAGAGGTCTCTCGATCATGGCTTACGCCACTTGGCTCCGTAGAAGACAACTGATGGCATCAATGAAGCTGAATAGGATGTCGGGACAGACATTCACCACATACTCGTTGTGTCCTACCATGTAAACCCACCGACCAAACAATTGTACAAGCACGAGGACCCTTCCAATCACCTTCCCCAAGACCATATCTAAGCGCATCTCTTCTCCCCCACCATCCTCTAACGAAATCTTCACTGAAATGCATAAGGATCATAGATCTCGGTTCAACGAGACCTTCTAAAGGTCTTGTTGAATCCATATACAGTCAATGCTGTAATGTGAATAAAGATGTAAAGGGATCAAATAATTTTGTATTCATAGTCAAGAATAAACAAGCTCGGTCAACTACAAGAACTAAAGATGCTCGTGAAAACAGTTCGTCTAACATAAGTATCTCTCTATTTTCGGACGTCGGTCGAGCTCATCCGCTGGTCGAGGTCGTCCAAGACTTTTCCGGTGGTGAAGAGGCGATGTTCTCCTTCACGTACTTTTATGTATCTTTCGGACTGTCCTTTCAATGAGTCTATCACCCTCTATTTATAATATAATACGTTTTATCTTTTTAAGAATCAGGGTCAAACCTAATTTTGGATTTAACTCTTAATGGGTACTAGAGCGTCAACCGCGCTACGCGCGGTTTATCTGTATATAAAATTTATATATTTTAAATGTCATTTGATTTAATTATTAAAATATTACTGAAGAATAGGTAAAATAACCATTTGAATTTTGAAACTATAATTTATTTTCAATATTTTTGTAAATAAGTATTTATTATAAAAATGTAAAATTAAAGATTTCATGTTTAGATACTAAATAAAAGTAATTTAGATAGATGTCCATAACACACATGCAAATATATTAGTCATTGGTATTGTATAGAAAAAGTTGTCCAATAAAAGGTATTATGTAGAAAATATATCACTTTTTAACATTGTTTGTATGTTTGAGTAGAAACATATTTCCATTCTTATTTTTGTTTTTCAAGTTAATTATTAAACATTTTAATATGAAGTTGTAATGGCGAGAGGAAAATTGCAAAAGCATCTCTGGAGTTTGAAGTTAAAATGTTTCAATCTCACTTTATTTTTAACTCCATAATAAAAAAATGGATTATACTCCATACTATTTTTATATTAAAATAAAATATAGAATAAATCATTAAAGATGATTTCGTTTTCTCAAAATGCATGAATCGGTGATGCTCTAACCTAAATTTATCTTTACACAAACTTATTTTGTATAACATAATAAATAAATGATGGAAAAATCTGTGGTATATATGATAGAGTGGATTTAATATTTTTTTCAAAAAATAGCTGTAATGTGATTTACTGAGTGTAGTAAAAAGCCATAAACATATCTTAATTTTTTTAGTTTAATAGTACTGTATATGTGTTTTGTTTCAGTGGCACACACCACAAGCCACATCGTTCCATTGACTATTTAATTTATTTTGTATACTAAAAATTATGTCTTGACAAATTTTGGACACAATTTTAGGGTTAACTTATTTTGATAAAAAGTTTTTAAAAAACGTTTAGAGTAGAAATCAAAATAAGTTTTGAGATATTTTTATTTTTTAGTTTAATTTTTTATTTTTAAATATGATGCTTTATAAATTTAAACAAACTTAAACAATGATTTTCATTTAGGTAGTTAAACATCTTACATTGTTATCTGAAAAATTATCATATGAAATGCACACAAAGAATGCTAAAATTGGCTTAAGTAGTAGAGATTTTTGATGTGCTAAATCCAATTTAAGTTTGTTGCAAATGTATTTGAAACATTTTTTCAATGTCAAAAAAGATGCTGCAAATATATTAGTTTTTGTTTTATCTTATATTAAATGCATTGGTTTATTTGTTATTTATCTCTTTTCTGTAAAATAAACTTAATAAGTTATTATTGTCGTAAGTGTTTTTGCATCTTAATGTTAAAAATTTATTAATATTGAGTGTAATGTTACTACATGTAGGCATATATATATATTTTAAAAGATATGTATTATATTTGGTTACAAAAGAAGAATAGTGATAGAGAATGAGAGGAATATATCTCGAGCCTCTAGGTTTCAATATTTATATTTTATTATATATTGATGTCAATTTAGTTATCATGTAGGGTCGTGTTATTCGTGTAGTATTTTGTTTGCGCTTATGATTTATCTTATTTTCTGATTTTTAATAATATCTATGGATTTATCAGAATTGAGATATATAAGAATGTTTTTTAAAAACTTTTTCTCTATGTTGGAAAAGAATATATTTTTTTTTGCATTGTGAAGTCTCCTTTGTTTCTATTGGATCTTGATACTAATCACACTGTCATGTTGCTACTTTTAGAGTCAATAAATTTTTGTGATTTATATCAATGTGTCTTGAATTTGGAGTAATTATTCAATTCTCCTGAAACTTATTGAAGAAATTAGTTCACTTAGAAATGGTGTATTTAAATATCCACAGATTGAAAGTTGAACAGAAATGCATACTGAACTTCTGTAAAAAGAGGGGCACACTCTACGCAGCGTAAAACAAAACGTAGTAGTAATGTAGTGATGAGTACGTGGGCCATCAAGTGCCTTTGTTCAGTGAGGGACTTCTAATTGCTAGCGGTTGGCCTTGACTCACCATTAACCCAATTAACCTGGAAATTTCCCACACAAAGTGAGAGAATTGACAGTGTCCCGAGAGTTGTGTAGTTTTTGAGAAAGTTAATTACTTTTACATAGTTGTACATCAGCTCATGAACTTGTCGTCCAATGAGCACGTGTCTCCAAGAAGCAGAAAAGTTGATTTGTCCCCATTACCGTGTACAAATATTTCCACTTTGTATCTGTGAATAAGTCTAGAGACTGCATGGATCTGAGCGTTAACTGTTGAGATAAGTATTATTTAAAAAAGTAAAACAGAAACATGTTAGTTTAGATTATAACAAAATAGAGAGCTAAAAATTATTGATATTGAAGACAAACTAATAACGACTGACGTAAAAGCTAAAATGAAGGATGCTATATTGTGACTTACATAATCATTTATGTGTAGCCACCAACTCATTTTGTGTTTACTGTTGTGATCAAGGCAACGATATGAGTAGATAGGTTAGCTTTGAACTTGCGGTGGAACTCTGAGACAACGTCATAGGGCCTACCCCAGCTTCAAATTTGAAAATAAACTAATATGAATGACCTCTAAATAGGCTGGTAAAAGAAAACAATGACGTTTTTAAAAGTTTATATTAACAAATGGAATGCTGGAGTTACCGTATAAATCACCACTCATGTTGCAGTTAGCTTCAAAATCTTCAACTGAATGGAACCTGAACATTTGTGACTCTATCAAGAGCTGACTCTCAATGTTTAAATAATTGATATACTCAATGTAATATTTACCTGAATTTGATATGTTAAAGTAGTTTACCTTGTATATACTTGGTACATGAATTCGAAGTTGAGGGTATTGATATCCACAAAGCTGTGTCATCCCAAGCAGTGTCGAGCCTTTTGACGGGAAGCCTTTTGAACTCAAACTATGGAATCATATTATCATTATTTATTCGCAGCCTAAAGGTAAAATCACTAAGACTCAGCAACAAAGTCTCTTATTCGTTTTTAGAAACCTTTTCTTCAAAGAAACATACATGATTCAAAAGCAATTTCGAGATGTAGATAAGAGCAGGCAAACCCATTAACAAATTGGTATCTATTGAAACACAGTCCCCTGCAACAGAGTTATTAATCTTACCGTAGTATATATTAATGAAAATAGGAAGCAACATGCTAGATCAAAAAACTGCAAACCTGTGATCGCATAAGCAATGGCCATGGATTTTTTTTTTTTTTCAGATGTTCAATGCTGGTGTGCTCTAATACGCCTTCTTCATTAGTTATTTAGTTTCTTATCTAAGTTCCAACCAATAAGCTAAAAACAACAACAACAAATCAGTTTTACAACAAAAAAAAACAACAACAAATCAGTCATCTTGTAGTCTTAAGAATCACAAGCTAACAAAACATAGAGATCACTGATCCATGAAGACACAACTTTCTCATGTATAGCTGAGCGACATTACCAACGTCATCGAGCATAGCAGGGCACAAACCTCTCCGAGATTCTTTGTTCAAGAACAAATTTTAAAAGTGAGCATCTTGAAACGTGAGTTACAATTTGGGAGATTGAACACAAATAAATGAAAGTGCCATATTTCTGCTTTTTGAACAAAAAAGAAAGCGCCATACTAAGATTTATATGTGTTTATAAGACTTTTTCAAAAAAAGGAAGAAGATTTATATGTTTATAGTAGAGATGGAGGTGATGAAAAAAAAGAAGCCAAGGAGAAACCTGGATCATGGGGTTTGTCGATGATTTTCATGCGGGCTTGCTTATGAATCAAGAGGAATTGTAAGAGGAAGTGACGATTCCAGTGAACCGGCTTTGGAATTTCTTGGATTGAGTTAGATACGCTTTTGCGCCAATCCATTCGTCGTTCCGCCCTAATAGATGAAGAACGTAGTTGGGAGAGAGGAAAACATATTGAATGAGAGAAGCCGAAGGATCAGGGATTTGGCTGGTTGGGCGTTTAGATTTTTTGAACTTTTAGTTTTTAACGCGAGTTAAATACACGAAAGGAGAAGAGACTTGCATAGTTAGTTTAGGGATCTGCAGACTTATGGGCCCAAATTACAAAACAGAACGATCAACAAAAAAAGTCCAACAATACCCAATTTCGAGGATGACGTGGCAAAAACTAACACTTTTATTGGTTGAATATTTTTGCCCATGTGGACACCCTCTCCATGGCTTATATTCACCTTTTAATAGAGTATAGATGTGTTAAGCCCATCAACAGATGCCACATGTTGGTGTTACCACACCTCATACAGGATTACCACACCTCATACACGACAAAGGAGTTGAGCGACCAAAACAAGCCTAAAACAAGAAAACCCAGACATATAGCACGATACTAACTAAATAAACAAAAAGAAAATGAATCATACCACTGACGCACACTCCATCAGTAGAGAGGCGGCATAGGCAAGAAAGTTGTGTTTGAGAGAGAAATGCTATATAAAGCGCTGTTAGTGTGTTGTAATTTACTCATGATGCATCTCTACCACCTACAGTTTATATTTAATGCCTTCTTCTTCAGAAAAATTATATGTATCATTCATATTTTTATAAAATTTGATTCAATTTCATTTTAGTTATTTTGATTTCGGTTCATTTTTGATAACAAGATTACTAATATACACTAAGACCGTAACGGGACAGAGAACCTGAATATAAACACGGATGAAGACAACAATCTTCAAATTTGTAAATACTAGTATGCTATAAAGATGACTATATATATACAAATATTATACTCATAAATCAAAATCTTAATATTTTTTTTATAAGAAGATTAATGAAATGTAATGGGTGTCTTTGAACTCGGGTTGTCCGAAAACTCACCTACTAGTACACCACCACTTTGTAGTTTAAAATCTTAGAGTGAAAAAGTAATGAATGAGTGAAAATGTTAAACACAGCGTAACTTCTTTTACTCCATCCAAACCAAGAGGAAAAGTTATAACCCATTTTACACTTTTTAAAGAGTTACCAGGGAGAAAAGCAATTAACATTTTTTCACTTGATTGGTAACATAAAGGCGTAAACCAGCGTAAAAAAAACTTTTTCACCTAAAATATTATAGCTAGATATGCCATACAGTCACACACTTAATATTTCACACTCAAGATTCCATATTTTTCAAAGTTCAACCTCTTTTCCTTTGCGTTTTTTTTCTGATGACCGGTGTGTGGCGATTCCTTAAACACTAGCTTCAGTCCGTCCAATTTCTTCGAAATTGGGCTTCCGAAAATGCTATAATGCGGGTCCAACCTCTACCTATCTTTTCCGAGATGTGGATAAATTTTGTAGAACTCCGACATGGCTTTGCTTTGCTTTGCCACCAGCAACTAGTATACTATTATTTTTCACTATATGAGCACGTTCTTTTCTTGCATATTTTATTTTAAATAATGATTGTTAGTGGCGACAAAAGAAAGAAAAATTGGAAAACGCATGAAGAAGGCCCTTTCATGTCAAGGTCTTATAAAATTATTATTCGAGTAGCATTAAAAGTGGCATCAAGAATCTGTAATCAGTATCTGCCCTCATTTGCGACCCTTCTTCCTCTCAATAAAAACCTCTCTTCACTCTCACCAAGAGCCAGCCACCACCACAATCCACAATGTCTCTCCTTCTCCCTGCTAATTTACAACAATGCCCTTCCCCCTCCCTCTCGCCGTCAACTCCACTCTTCTCCCCGTCACCTCCCACCGCTTTCTCCTTCCTCGACTCTCGCCTGAGATGCCTCAGATTGGTTACTTCCTGCGTCGCCTCCGTCCAAAGCACTGTGGCTAATGGTTCAGCTCCAGCTCCTGTTGTCGTGGAGCGAGAGCAGATTCGTCTTGGTCTTCCTAGTAAAGGACGCATGGCTGCCGACTCCATCGATCTTCTCAAGGTAGTTGAAAATTTGCATTTTTGATTATTTTCTGATTAATGTGATCGCTACTATAGATTAAACAAGTATTTAGCTTTGATTAAAGACTAATTATCTTCCTTTTGCTTATTGATTTCGACACAGATTTTTTTTTTATATGTAATGTAAAGCAGCTTTATGTTTCTGTCTTTTCGTCATGTGTTGTTTACTATTGTCTCTCTCTGATGTTTGTCTTGCTTTTGAAACTTGTATGGTTATGTTAATACGGTTCCTTTTGATTCTGATACTTTGATGTGCTTTAAGTGCAACGTTTTATGGTATATTTTAAAAATGGAATCTTAGACTGTTTCATTTGTTGAAGCTAGAAACTGTTAATTGTTTTTTCTTGTAACGTGCATATGGCGATTTGATTTTGTGTTCAAATCTAATGCAAGTTAGGTATTGTTTACGTTTCATCATCTCTTTGTATACACTACACAAAGATTATTGCCTTGTTCTTCTTCTCTGAAGTGTTGTCTTCTTCCTCACTTTGAGTGAAGTGGACATAGTGATTTGTAATCTCGTAGCTTGACTCTTTTTTATTTTGTTGTTTCATCTGTGAAGGACTGTCAACTTTTTGTCAAACAAGTCAATCCTAGGCAATACGTTGCACAAATTCCCCAGGTAAAGTATACATTCAAGGCAAACGCTAGTGTTTTTTTTTCCATGTCTCCTTATGTGTGATCTTTTTCATGTCTTCCAGTTACCAAACACTGAAGTCTGGTTTCAACGGCCAAAAGACATTGTCAGGAAGTTACTCTCAGGAGATCTGGATCTAGGTATCGTCGGTCTTGACACACTTAGTGAATATGGTCAGGTAAGTCACGACCTTAATTGTTTTTTTCTGGAATATGATATACTTAGTGGTGGCATGGTGGTTGGTTATTATTATTATTATTATACTCGTTGTGGAGATACAATTAATATATATAAACAAATAAGAACAACCAGTTGACTTTTTAATTCTCTTCTTATGTGATTCTTCGACACTGGTAAGCCCTATTGTTGAATTGGGCTGTAAGATTTAGTATATAGTGTTTTCACTATGATACTCTCATTTGCATCATAATTTAGTTGTTTGAGTTTTTCCGTCTAGGAAAATGAAGATCTTATTATTGTCCACGAAGCTCTCAACTTTGGAGACTGTCATCTGTCCATTGCGGTAGGTGCTAATCTATTTTGGTTGGATTTTCTCATATCTTTTTTGTGGATGGTTTTCTTATTGCTTGTCAAATGATCTCAGATACCCAACTATGGGATTTATGAGAACATAAACTCTCTGAAGGAGCTAGCAGAAATGCCACAGTGGAGCGAGGAGAGACCATTGCGTGTTGCTACTGGCTTCACTTATGTATGATGAGTTACAGATTATCCTTTTGGTGCGCCATTGTCATTAGTTCCCTCTCCGGATGCATTTAGCTGTAATGTAATATTTTGGGAATGATTCAACTGGTTTTCGCAGCTCGGCCCCAAATTTATGGAAGAAAACGGCATAAAGCATGTAACGTTTTCAACTGCAGACGGAGCCCTGGAGGCAGCTCCAGCGGTGAGAGACTATACTATTCTACATCAAAAACATATATAGTCTTTCTTCAACACTAGGCTAATAAAGATTCGTTTGTAGGGATAGGAAAGACGTCACTTCTTAAATGAAATTATAGTTTGCTGCCTATCCATGATTACATATTGTGTAGTATGTCTTAGATTAATCTTTTACATGGTTCCTTTTTTTATTCGTTGTTGCTTGTTTAGAGCTTATTTTTCTAGTTTGAGGTTTGAATTGCCTATAGTTGGAAGGGTTTTCTGGATTTTGCTGTTTTGTTTGTCAGACGAAACTCTTGACCATAAAAAGAGTGAATACATTTGCAATTAAATTTCTCATATCATTCTCTGGTAAAAACTGTGTTAAGCCGATATGTTGTGCTGGAGGATGATCTCGTTAGCATGTAATGTACTTACTGTTAAGCTATGAAATGAAAGTTTTGTTGACACATATTTTCATGTTAACTAGATGGGGATAGCTGATTGCATTTTGGACCTTGTGAGTAGTGGGACAACACTCAAAGAGAACAACTTAAAAGAGATTGAAGGAGGGGTAGTGCTGGAAAGTCAGGTAATGTGAAGTTCTTGGAGCCTTAACTCTTTTTTGTTGGCGGCCATCATTTCTGAACATTTCCTTTATAAATTTCAGGCGGCACTTGTGGCAAGCAGAAGAGCATTAACCGAGAGAAAAGGAGCATTAAACACTGTACACGAGATTCTCGAGAGATTGGAGGCCCATCTTAAGGCTGATGGCCAATTCACCGTACGCACTTTGTTCTTGTGAAGAGGTTTCGTTGCTTTTCTCTAATATTTGTCATTTCAGGTTGTTGCAAATATGAGAGGAAATAGTGCTCAAGAAGTAGCTGAGCGTGTGTTGAGTCAACCATCACTGTCAGGATTGCAGGTAATGTTTCCTAATGGTGGAAGTTCTTAAGCCTTTGCTTTTTGTATTTCTCGCTGATCGTTTATGGCTTCTCTTATATTGAGCAGGGACCTACAATAAGCCCAGTTTACTGTAAACAAGATGGAAAAGTATCAATTGACTACTATGCCATAGTGATCTGTGTGCCGAAAAAGGCCTTATACGAGTCTGTGAAGCAACTAAGAGCGGTTAGTAATCCCTGCAGTTTCTTGCTTACTTATCTCAGTTCCACACCTAACCTTTAAATGTGTTGACGTGCTAGTTGATTCTTTTTTTACCACTTTTGCACTGGGCATATTCCAAATGATCTACGTTCATCGTTCTCTCTCTTGGTTATTGCAGGTTGGAGGCAGTGGAGTATTAATTTCACCTCTTACCTACATATTTGATGAGGATACTCCAAGATGGGGCCAACTCCTGAGAAACCTCAAGCTTAAAATGTAATGGTAAGGAAAATGCATTCAATGAACAAGTTTTAAGAAGACCCTTTGGTGTAAATCTCTGGGTTGGTACCTTTGTCTCTACTTTGTAGTTGTCTTCTTTTTTTCTCATGGCTGTTGTAATTTCTACCTTGCTTTACCTGTATGGATCCTACACTGTTGTTAAATCTGTGGGAACAATAATAAAAGTGCTGTTTCGTTTAAGCATTTTATCTCATCTTTGCATCAAGGAACCCTCTGCAATTTTTGTACGTATTTTAGTTCAAGAAACATGTTCCTTTCTGATCACAGAGGCTCGAATTTGACGTTAGGTATATCAGTCTCTAGATGTTTGTTCTGTATCTACACTCTGCTTTTCTATAATCTGTGATGTCATTAGATTAAACTATATTCTTACAGTCTTTTATTTGGTATTATTGATAGGTAAGTAATAACTGTTACATGATGAAAGAAGGAACATACGTTTCTGCTTTGCACACAAAATCCAAACAAAGAACCAAAGAGACAAACAAATAAAAAATATGCACACATATATTGAGCGTTAGAGCATACATATATATATATATATATACACACTTCAAGTGTAGATGATTATCTCTGGATTTTATGTTCTTTAGCTAAAATGAAGTGGTGTAAAGAGGTCCAGAACTTTCAGTTGAAGATCCTTTCTTCCTGAAGAAATCTCCCAAAAGAGGAACGATAGGTTTCTCCTTCTTCTTTGTAGTCTTCATAAAATACCCATTTTTGTCTCCTTTGTTATTGTCAGAAGCTTGAAAGAAGTGAATAAAGTCAATGGTCTTAAACTTATTTGGAGATTTCTGTCGGGAGAATCGTTGTGGAGCAAATGAATTAATAGAAATTTACTTAAAGGAAATTTTTTCTGGGAGATTGATGTTGTTCAAAATGGTTCTTGGATGTGGCGTAAGATGTTGAAGTTGAGAGAGTTGGCTAAGCTGATTTTTAGGCGAGAGATTGGTAATGGGAGACATGTCTCCTTCTGGTTTGACATTTGGTCTGTTAAAGGAACTTTGTTTGATTTGCTGGGTCCTCGGGGGATTATAGAAATGGGTGTGGGAAGATAAGCAACTCTGGAGGATGCGGTTACTGCTGTAAGAAGGAGACGTAGACATCGTATGACTCTGCTTAATGATGTTGAGGCTGAGTTAAGTATGATTGCGAGGAAGTTGAGTCCTGGTAAGAATGATACTAATCTTTGGAAGGGTAAATCTGGTTTCAAACAGGGATTTTCTACGCGTGAAACTTGGGAGTTGCTGAGGGAAAGTAAGCCATTGTATTCTTGGGTGAAAGCCATTTGGTTTACTCAAGCCACTCCTAAATATGCTTTCATGGCGTGGTTGTCTATGAAGGATAGGCTCTCTACATTAGATAGAGTTGCTCGGTGGAGTCAAAGTAATGATATGGAGTATGTCCTATGCAAAAGGTCTGATGAAACAAGAAGTCATTTGTTTTTTGCCTGTGATTACTCGAGCCAAGTCTGGGAGTTCATCGCAAAGGGGATTCTTGGGAGCTCTTTCACTAATAACTGGTCTGGTATTGTGGAGCTGATCTCTGATGAGACAAGGGCGAGAATGAGCAGATTCTGTATTCGCTATGCATTTCAGGTTGTTCTATATGCTATCTGGTATGAGCGAAATAAAGTTAGACATGGTGAGAAGCTGATGCCAATTCTAGTCATGTGCAAGACTCTTGACAAGAGTATCCATAACAGAATTACTTTGTTGAGTAAGAGTAAAGCTAAGGGGATGGAGAAACTCCTGCAGTATTGGTTTTCTATTAAAATGTAATAGGTTTTGAGGAAAAGTCACTAGAGGCAATCTCTAGTAAAAAGGATTGCATTTGATGTATTAAGTCTTTTTTGAATCAATTAACATTAATTAAAAAAAAAAAAAGTATATGAGCCAGTTTAGGATACTCCTTAGCCATCTTCCTCATCTTTCTTTTCTCTTTCTTCTCCATTTTCTTTCGTTTCGTTGAAGCTCACCGACTTGTCCACAGCTGCTGCACTCTTCACTGCAGCATCAGCTCCGGCTTTAGCCATCTTTGCTATGCTCTTATGTAGCTCAGGATTCAAAGATGCCAAAGGCACCTCTGTATTAGACTCTTTCTCCTTCAACATTCTCACCTCGGTCTTTGTTTCGGTTATCTCAGCTTCAAGCTTCTTCAAAACATCCATGAACTCTTCTTTCAGACCTTGAGGAGAAGAAGGCAAGGAAGAGCTCTGGTTCCATGGGGAATATGAAAAGGAGGCGTGTGGCTGATTTTAGGACTAGCAGCAATAAGATTTGGTTTAGTAGTCTGGCTGTGCTTGGACTAGCAATATGACTTACCGGTTTAGCAATCTGGCTGATGCAGTTGCCACATTTGGCCAACGGATAATGCTACCAGGAAAAACTCATACCCTAAACTACAAACCGGTGAGTCCTATTGCTAGTCCTAGCATCAGCCAGAAATGTGGCAACTGCATCTTTTACCGAGGTAAAAGGACGAGAAGTGTCAACATGATATTGCTAGACTTGTTTATTTTCTTTCATCGCTTCCATTTCCAAGTTTTGTATTGGTAAATATTGTTTCTTCTTGGGTGATAATGTAATATAGGTTTGGTATCTTTGCTTTTACAACAAATTATAGGGAGAGACTTGATGACCGTTGTGTAAAGATGAAGACAGGACCATACTAAGTTCCATGAAAAGTTGACTCCGTTCTGACTCCAGCCTAAATATACAAGACCAAACTATAAATATGAGAGACAAATAAAGGGTACCCAAATTCAACCACGAAATAAAATATAATATATCATTTATATCAGGGCAATGCTTAATAGAAAACGAAAATAATTTCAAAAGGCAGGAGAAAAACACCGATTAATTCAAATAACGTCTCTGAATAAATACTGAAATTAACATTAAACATTCAATTGTTACCACCAAATTAGAGTTAACTAAGGTGGTGTTATTTAATCATGTATTTTAATAAAATTTAAATCTAAATACAATCCATTGTTATTCAAATGATGATTCTAAATTATGTTTTAAAATCTAGTGTTATTCAATGAATGATTTAAATTTAGTTTTTAAAATCTAGTGTTATTCAACTGTTAAAGATTTTAAAATTCTTTGTACTTTGAATTGATTTCAAATCATTTCATATGGATTCTCATGAACAAATGAATGAATTCCAAATCCAAGGTATACTGCATAGATTTTAGAATTTATCAACTTAAACTTTCTTAAAATTTTAAATTTTGATGGATTATAAAATATTAATAATTGATTTTAAAACACTCATTGAATAACACCTCCTGAAAAGAAACTATGCACATCCACAATAGAAAATATAGAACAAGATTATCCAACTTCATATAGTTTTATACACACAAATATATTTCCCTATAAAATACAACAAGTAAACATTATAAACTATAAAATACTTAATATCTCGTTCAAGTGTGAAGCATAGACTAACCACTAGTATACCATATAAACCGAAAGAATATGATTTTATAAAAATCGTAGGATTTAGATATGGCTAGATTTATAACTGATTAAATCGAATAAAACCGAACAACACCGATCAAAGTAACAACGTATAAATATATACATTATATAACGATACATGATAAATTATTTATTATAAAATTTAATTTTATTCTTAATAACTAATAAAATACAATTTTATATTAAAAAGTCCTAATTTGAAAAAACAATTAAATAATAAAAAAATCTATTCACCTCGATCAAACGTTCTTAACTTCCTATTCTTTTAGGGGACAATTGCAAAAATACCATTTTTGTGATACCACAATTCAATTTTACCACCATTCAAGGGACATTTTCATAAATACACAATTCATTAATGACAAAAGACAATACTACCCTTCACTTCCCCTTCTTCTTTCACGTCGATCTCTTTGACCACCACTTAGCCTCCAAGTGTCTACTTGCCGGAGTTTCTCCTTCGTCGTGGCTCTAGCCACCTTCCCAAACTTCCGGTACCTGGCTCAACCATGCTCAATTTCTTGTTGATTCTCGCAGCTATGTCCGTCTCGTGGATCTGTCTTCTACTTGGTTTCCTTCCGGATTCAGTAACGATTCTTCGTAGATCTTAACTCTTTCTCTTTAGGATTTGTTTTCTCCGTTTCCTGATCCGTGAATTTGATTGCTTCATTGACTAGATCCGATATGTTTCTCGATTATTCAGATTGATTCGTGTTATTGATTTGTTCAGTTAATTCACTTTTGAGGATTATCTCTGTTATCTGATTTTTGAATTATATATTATATGGTTTCTAGGGCACTGAATTGAAGATCGAAGATGTTAGAACAGCTTTTGATCTTCACAAGAGGAGGATTAATCCTCTGGACATGCAAGGAGCTTGGAAACGCTCTCAAAGGATCACCAATCGACACTCTCATCCGTTCCTGTCTCCTCGAGGAACGATCCAGTGAAGTCTCCTTCAACTACGAAGCCTACACTCTCAAGTGGACTTTCCACAACGACCTTGGACTCGTCTTCGTCGCTGTGTATCAGCGTATCCTCCACTTGCTCTACGTGGATGACTTTCTCTCCATGGTGAAGCAAAGCTTCTCCGAGATCTATGATCCTAAACGGATGACGTATGATGATTTCGACGACACTTTTAGGCAGCTTAGGAAGGAAGCTGAGGCTCGGGGAGAGGAGTTGAGGAAGACGAAGCAAGTTGGGAAGCCTGTGGGGAGTGTTAAGAAGCAAGGGCAGGCGGCAAAATCTGGTCTTGATGGAGGAAGCAAGAGTAGTAATGGGGAAAGTGGTGGTGGGTCGAAGAAGGATGATGGAGATGGGGATAAGGGTAAAGTCGGTAGCTTGATGATGATGACTAATGGGCATTCCAATGACTGACAAGACTGATCTTGCTAACGGGAAAGAAAACACGACTGATAATGTTGTACTTGATCCAAGTAAGCTTTTGAAGCTGAGGAGTAAAGGTGTAAGAGGTAGAGGTGGTGTAAGGAAAACTGACAGTATAGGTAATAAAAGTTCCAAGGTTACTGCTGTGGAACCGCCAAAGAAGGCGACGAAGAAGAATAGGGTTTGGGATGATGCGGCTCCTAAACAAGTGAAGTTGGACTTTACGGATTCCGTTGGTGAAAATGGGAATGGGAACGAGGAGCATGTGGATATTGTGGCTGCTGACCAAGGAGAAAGTATGATGGATAAGGAAGAGATTTTTAGCAGTGATGGTGAAAGCGAAGATGATGATGATGATGAACCTGATATCGTGAGGATCAAAGTTGTCCGTCTCGTGGACACAATCAGAACCAGAGAGTTGAAACTAGCCTTGATGTTACATCTCCTGGTCAGACCCGTGAGCATGCTCTCCTTGCTTTCACCCTTGGTGTTAAGCAAATGATTTGCTGCTGTAACATGGTGAACCTATACTCTGTTTTCATTGCTTATTGCCATTACACTGTTTTGATAAGATGCTAAAACAGATGCGTATCTTTTGTTATAAATCATTTAATAAACTCATATAAATCAAATTTGTAAGAGTTTATAAATCATTTTGTAAAAATGTATATAATCATTTTAATGTCTTTATAAACACTTATAAATCATTTAATAAACTCATATAAATCAAATTCAATTTATAATTGTTATCAAATAATTTATAGAGTTTATAAAACTATTTATAAAGGTTTATAAATATGTTTATAAAGGTTTATAAATCTATCTCTAATGGTTCATAAATCTATTTATAAAGTTTTATAAATAAATTTATAAGGATATAAATTTATAAGGGTTTAAAAATATATTTATTAAAGTTTAGAAATCCTTATATAATTATTTATAAGAGTATATAAAATAATAAATAATAATTTTATAAGGATTTATAAAATTATTTATATATTTATAAATCCTTATATAATTATTTATAAGAGTATATAAAATCATAAATTATAGTTTTATAAAGGTTTATAAAAAAAAGTTATAAGGATATATAATGGTTTATAAAACCATTTACAAAATTTTTATCATTAATAGGTAGTAATAGATGTTTTATAAAGGTTTACAAAAAAACTAATAAGACTTTATAAATCATTTGTAAGAGCTTATAATCTTTATAAAAAATTTACAAGAGTTTATACAGCTATTTATAAGGATTTATAAATATATCGATAAAAGTTTAGAAATTCATAAAATAATAAGAGGTTATAAATCAATTTATAAGACTTTAGAAATCTATATAATACAATTTATAATAGTTTACATATGCTCTAGATGATTTTTAAGAGTTTAAAATGAATTTATAAAGATTTATAAATCAATTTATAGAGTTTATAAAACTATATATAAGGGTTTATAAAAATAATTTATAAAGTTTATACACATTATAAAGGATTATAAGAAAATTATAAGGGTATGTAAAATTATTTATAAGAGTCTATAAACCATTTATAAATGCTTATAAAAAAAGTTATAAAATCTATAAACCATTTATAAATGTTTATAAATTATTTATAAGAGTCTATAAACCATTTATAAATGCTTATAAAACAAGTTATAAAATCTATAAACCATTATAAATGTTTATAAATTATTTATAAGAGTCTATAAACCATTTATAAAGGCTTATAAAACAAGTTATAAAATCTATAAACCATTTATAAATAATTTATAAGGGTTTATAAAACATTTGCAAGGGTTTATAGATCATTTATAAATATTTATAAAATCATTTATAAATTATTATTAGTTTTATATAAGGCCTTATAAATTATAAAAATTATTTTAAAGCCTTTGTAAGTGTACATTAGGATTCATAAAGGTTTTATAAGGGTTTGTTAAATGTTTATAAGGTTTATGAAGCCATTTGTAAGACTTAATCTATGAAAGTTTATAAATCAAATAATAAAGATTTAATAATGAATAAAAATGAATTTATAAAGATTTATAAATCAATTTATAAAGTTTATAAGGGTTTATAAAAATAATTTATAAAGTTTATACACATTATAAAGGATTATAAAAAAAATTTTAAGAGTTCATACAACTTTAATAAACACACCTAAACACAATCAAAATGCGAAAAATCAGATAGACACACACAAAAAACCACATTGGTTTCATGTTCAGCTAATTCTTGGGATCTGCCAAAAATGTGATCTTCTCGCTGATTTAGTGAAGCTTTTGGTCTCTGGATGATTCACAGAGAGAACCCGACCTGAACTCTCTCATGATGATGTCTCTTGTGTTCTGGTCCATGTCTCCGTGAGTGGCTGAGACCGTGTGGTCAGTGGTCACGGCTTCTCATTTTGTCTGTGCGCCAGTCCACCTTGCGACGAGTGTTGACGAAGATGACACTCTGAGTGATGGCTAGAGTCTCGTATGGTCACAGAGAGTCTCGAGCTTCCACTCTTCTTTCTCCACGTTCACGTAGAACTGCTTGATACCTTCAAGTGTTGGTTCATCACGTTTCACCAAGATTCTCACTGGTTTGCTCATGAACTTCCTTGTGATCTCAAGAGCTTCTGGTGGCATTGTAGCTGAGAACACTCACAACTTGAATCTTCTGGTGGCATTGTAGTTGAGAACACTCACAACTCTGGGGTTCCTGTTGGTAACATTGTAACAGTTCAGTGGTCTTTGCAGAAAGAGTGAATAGGTGAGCAATGTCAAGAAAACTATACCAATAACACTTTTGACATTAGCTTGCTCCATGACAGTAGCTAGACCAAGATCACCTATCTTCACTTCTCCATGGTTCCCATTGATAAAGATGTTATCACACTTGAGATCCCCATGTATAATGGGTGGCTCTTGGGTGTGAAGAAATCTCAAACCCATTAGTATCTGTCTCGCCCAACACTTGACAGCCTTCATGTTCACCTTTCTGTGTTTCTTGCGGTAACTAAAACCAAAAAAGATATGCACTTAAACTCACATTGACAGAAAAAAAATAAATAGAAGATGAGTGTTGCGTGATAGATACATACTGTCTGAGACTCCCTGAAGTGAAAAGCTCAGTTATTATGTTGACTGTCTTGTTCTTATCATCGATCCATGAGTTATAGAACCTAATGATATTACTGTTCTTCAATGATTTCAAAAGACGCACTTCAGAGTAGAGCCTCTCCAGGGAGTTTGGTGACTACAGAACATCATCTATTCGTACTTGGTTCCATGCGACTTCTATCCCATCTACTTCATCGAAGGCCTTGTAACTGGTTTCTTCTGAGTTAAGGTTACAAACCGAGAAAAGATGCAAGAACATAGACAAAAAAGTGATATGAGCATCTCAAGAATTACAATGAGTACTCTCGTTTCAGAAATCAGAATGTAAGTAATCGATATGAATCGAGGAAAAGGATACACAGTCTTGAATGCGCCTTTTCCTATCACCTCTTTATACTGAAAGGTCGATAACAACATACAGATCAATCAATACACACTATAACTCAATCCTTAAACATATGATTCCATATGTTTAACCACCCAATAAGAAAATGACACTTGTTCCATCGTTGTCGTTTTCCTCTGCTTTTCCTTAGAGTTTCTTCCGATGGCGTTGCATCGAAGCATATCAGGTGGTGGGATCAAAGAAAGCGATAATCAAACTGATTAAAGTCGTGACCTTAAAGTAATCTAATCAGATCTTTTGATAAGGAGGACGAAGCAATCTAAGCTAAGCTGAAGAAGAAGAAGAAGAAGAAGAAGAAGAAGGAGGAAAGAAGTCAACGAAGATGAAGCTCTCAGCTTTGCATCAGAGCTACTTAAACCGGCGCAACAACAGCTTCAGATCTCCAATAGATTCCTCCGTCGACACCTCCGGGAAGTCTCTTCTCCCCGTCTTCTGGCTCGTCCTCCACTGCCTCTGCTGCTTGATAAGCTTACTCCTCGGCTTCAGATTCTCCAGACTAGTCTTCTTCTTCCTCTTCACCACCAACAACCTCTACTCTACTCCCTTCCGTCCCGACTTACCTACTCTCAAGCACGATCTGAATCATCATCACAGTCATCCCTCCTCCAACTCGACGACGGAGGTGATCAAGAGCTCGCGCGTCGTAGTGGGGAGACACGGGATCTTGATCCGGCCGTGGCCGCATCCGGATCCCGTGGAGGTGATGAAAGCGCATCGGATCATCGAGAGGATGTTCCTCATACCCGTATATATCGAAAAGTAGGATCAACTTCGAGCACCTCGGGGTCAAGAGGCTCTTGAAGAACAGAAGATCAAGTTGTGAGTGTTCTCAACTCGCCGGAGATCACCGAATTCGCTGGAGATGTCGAGTTCGCCGGAGATCGTTGAGTTCGCCGGAGATAGCTTGTCTCCGTTTGTC